GAGAGAGAGAGAGAGAGAGAGAGAGAGAGAGAGAGAGCTGACGAGGGAGGGAGGAGAGGTCCTCCGCTCCCAGGTACCTCAGGCGGCAATGGCCGCCGTGCTGGCTCAGTCGCCCTGCTGCTGCTCCGCTTGCCACTGCGCTAATGCTGCGCTGCCGCTGCTCCTCCTTGCTCGCTCCTGCGCTAAACTTAGCGCATCAAACAGCGCTCTGGCGCTGACCATAACGCACCGGTAGAGTGCCGGTGGTTCGATGCCTCCAAGTGAGGCTGTACCGGTACTTTATACCGGTGGGGCAGAGGCCGGCCTCAATGCTGCGAGGCCTGGCAATGCCCTGAACCGTCCAGATGGACGGTTCAGCCCCAACCGGCGGGCGGCAGCCTCAAGAGCGCCGCCAGGCCCAAACGATAATGCCGTTTGGGCCTGCCCGTTGGGTACTGGTCCAAGATCAGGCCCTGAGGGTCTGTAATACCCCAAGGTCGGGCCTTTAGGCCCTGATGTGTCCTTCCGGCCCTAAGTCGGGTCCGGTAGGACCCGTGTGCGTCGAAGATGTAACACGTTGGTGATGACGTCGGACCATCGGAATTGTTGGCAAAGCAGAGTAATCGTCCGGTTGACTCCAGTCGTGAATCGTGGTACTCACCAAGGAGGTGAGTCTGTAATCAATGTTCTCGTGGGACGCATAGCAAGTCCTTACCTCGCGAATGGAGAAGCAAGTACCCGTCGACAATGCGGTGGTGGCTAGTCGGCGGGTGGTCCGACGAAAGCTCCTCGTAGAGAGTGGTGTAGTCCGGATCTGTCTTGTATGCGCGTAATGAAATGCTGATGTAGAGTCGAAGGCGTGGTGGATCAATGCGCAAAGATCGGCTCTTCGTGAAAGAGCATACGCCGCTCGATTTGAGAGACCCGAGATGTGCTTCGACATGAAGTCAAACTAGTCGATGAAGTACATTCATCTTCCGATCGTGCTACTCACTGTGTCTTGCGTCTTGTAGTAGGTCAATGGGTTGCTGTCTGTTACCCAAGTGAACCTGCGACTCCTGAGGAGGAAGTGTCACCGACGTTTTAGTACCGTGACGAAGGCCAGCAACTCCTTCCTTGCATCATCAAGCGAGCTGATGGGGGGCACCTTTTGGTCGAAGTAGTCAATTGGGTGCCAATCTACACCGTCGTGCTGTTCCAAGACTGCACCAATGCCGTAACTGGAAGCGACCGTAGTCACTCTTGTGGGCAAAGTGGGGTCGTAGATGCTCACAACGGGAGCCATGAGCATCGCCGTCTTACGCTTGTGGAACGAACTCCGGACTTCGTCAGTGAAGTGGAAGGGCACCTTTGGAGACTGAAGTCATGACAAAGGTGCGGTGATCCCGTATCCGCCGATGAAGCGTTGATAGTACCCGACCAATCCCATGAAGGAACGAACCTCCGTGGTGTTGGTGAGTTCCGACCAATCTTGGATGGCCTGAATTTCGTCCGCAAGCAGACGGATGCCTTGTAGCGGCACAAAGTGACCCAAGTATCCGAGCTCTTGTTGGGCAAACTCGCACTTGGCTCAGTTGACCTTGTCCTTTAGCCTCTCCAAAACGGTGCATAGACACGTGAGGTGCTCGTCCAAGGTCCGACTATAAACCAAGATGTCGACGAGGTGGATGAGCACAAACTGGTCCAACATGTCGCGGAACTCCGTCGTCATTGCCGCTTGGAAAGTAGTCGGGGCATTCGTGAGGCCGAATGGCATTACGACCCACTCAAAGTGCCATACCGTGTCTTGAACGCGGTCTTGTACCGATCTCGCGGATGGATCTCGATCTGGTGATAAGCGGATTTGAGGTCGAACTTCGAGAAGTATGTGGTGCCGCCCAAACATTCGAGAAGATCGTCAATGCACGGGAGCGGTCCTGCATTCTCAACGGTTTGCGCGTTAAGCTTGCGGTAATCAATGCATAGCTGCAAGTCTTTGTTCTTATTCCAAACGAAAAGAACGGGAGCACCGTATGGCGAGCAGCTAGGGTGAATCCAGCCCTTTGCAATGAGGTCGTTGAGTTGCGTACGAAGCACCTCAAGTTCCTCCTCGCTCATGCGGTAGATACAACCACAAGGAGGTATGGCCCCGTCCTCGATGATGATCTCGTGGCGGATAGGACGATCCGGTACAATTCCAGCGGGGGCTTCGAAGATGTCGTCGAAGGAGTCAAGAAGCTCTACAATTTGTGGGTTCGGTGGCACTTCCGATGCTGGCTCGTCCGATGGAGGGATGGCATGCAAGAAACAAAGGCCCATTTCTTCAACGCCGTGCCGTGCGATGACGGTGATAAAACCGCACATGCACATGAGTCTTGCACGTGGAGGGGTAGGTCCAACGGAGCGACCAGCTGGACAGCGTAGTCTTTGAAGTCATGGTGAAGACTTGCGACATCCGCATCCTCCCCGGATGTGTAGGAGGTTGCTCGCAAGGCAACCGTGTCCGGCGGAATGGGAAGTGGCGTCGCCTCACTTCCCGCGACACTCAGTTTCCCGAGCTTCGCTTGGGACAAACATCCTCCTTGCCCTTGTCGGGCCACTGAGAGGGGGTGTGCTTAGTGCTGTTGTACAAAAAGCAGCATCCCCACTTTTGTCAGTGCTTAAATTGCTTTTCCGTGAGTTTGAACTTTTCCCAAGGCTTGTTCGGCTGTCCGGCTTCCGACGTTGACGCTGATTTCGCCTTTCTTGTTCTTGAGTTGGTGCGTCATGGTGGAAGGGCATTGACTTGGTCTCCTTTACCCTGAAGTCGATACCGGATCTTCATTTGATCCATTTGATTGGACTGCAGCGGCAGGCTGTGCGTCAGTTGTCCTTTACCTTTCTCTACAAAGTTTGGCTGCCCTTGCCTTTTGTTAGCGGCACGCCAATTGGCTTGGATGAGGGAGCGAGCTTGAGTTACGATCGAGTCGAAATCTTCGTAGTCCTCCACTCGTCCCGAGTGCTTGGGTCAAGGAGTCGACCGAATGTTTGAAAAACTCGCGTCGAATGTGTGTGAACGGAAGTTCAGATCCGGAATGGCAATGATCTTTTGCCATTCGGTCAACCATTCGCGCGTCGGCTCGCTTCCTTGCTACATCCGGAAAACTTTGTTGATGCCCTTGGCGACCTCGTCTTGTACAATGAGCCGTGCTTTCCACAAAGCTTCCACAGTGTCCCAGTCCAACTTGGTGTGCAGGCGGTCCATGTTGACTCCTTCCTTGACCGCGAGGTGGTTGAGCCAGATTTGGCATGCACCTGTGGCGTTGAGATAGAGTGCCGCAAGCTAAGGTGTTCAGGGACGTCGCGGAAACTTAATTCTGTGGTAAAGCCTTGCCACCATGCAAGCGGGTCTTGCTTGGTGTAGTCATCGAACTTCTCAATGTTGAAGTTTGACAGCTTGTACGGACCCTGGTTTCTGCTACCTGATGGTTGCTGCTGCAGTGTATGGAGACCGCTTGTCAACGACGCAATCTGTTGACTGATCATTGCTGGTTCTGCGTACATGCCAAGGTTGCCGATTGTGGCAACCACATGGTCGGTCCGCTGCTCCAGCTGTCGTGTTGACAGCTGGTGGGTACGAAGTTCGCTGCCTGGTGTGGCGGCGTCCAAGTTCTCCAGGTCTCTGATGCGGGTATGACAGCCACGGTTGGTGTCATCTTGCTGGTCCCGGTTGCTATCAATCACCCGTGCCAAGAGCTGCAGCGCCTGCTGCTGCCAATTGAACGTTGCGATGAGCTGTGCAATCATCATGGCTATGTCCTCATTGGTCTTCTCGGCGTCCATCGGGTTGCTGTTGCTTTCCGTCGGTGCAAAGTGCTATTTTCTGAGTATTACAGCATAATCCATCTCTCGCCGCTGCAGTGTCGTGCAAGCGGCCATCCAGAGTTGGTTGATAGCTGCTGCTTGTTCGGCTGCACGGATGCGAGCGGCCTCAGCTTCGTCGCGACGCTTCTTTTCCTCATTGATGAACGTCAAGAAGTTGGCTACACGAAGCTGGTAGGCCTCGACGGTCTCGTTGGGCCCTTGCCCTGTCAGACTGGGGAGGCCCAGACCGGGTGCCCCTTGGGATGATGTGCTCCCAGGTGGGCTCACTGCAGGTTCTGCTGCTGAGGCCATGCCTGCGGTTGCTGGCTGCTGGCATTCGGCAGGAGTCTGCTGAGGTACTGCGACGTCAGTTGTGGGAGATGCAGAGCTGTTTTTTGGTGCGAGTCGTGCACTGCGTTGGAGCATAGCCCAATCTTAGCCTTGGTGCTGACGTGGCCTGCTGCTGACATGGCACTCTGCTGATGTGGCAGTCTGCTGAAGTGGCAGTCTGCTGATGTGACACTCTGTGGACTTGGCACTTCTGCTGACGTGGCACTTACCAAGCCGTTGAGAATAAGGTAGGAGGGGAGGAGAAGGCAGGCAATGTTACATTTCCAAACCGCAATCACCCTCTTTTATTCAGGTAAGACACTAACCAAAAAAAAAATTCCCCCCGAATTTGCGAAAATTCAAAACGTAAAAAATTGAACATTCGAAAATGTGGGATTTGGCGGTGTCTTCCTGATGCGTAGGTACTAAGGAGATCAGAGAAGAAGAAAAATTCGAGATTAAAAAAAAAGGAGCGTAATGCTGTATTTATCAGATCCGAATTCTCAAGTTGCTCAGAATACGGAAGTATGAAAATTCGTGGGAAGAAAACAGCAGTAGGCTAAAATTTCCTCGAAACGAACTTTCCAGAATCAAATATACAACTTGCAATTAATTTCTCAATCGATGGACTAATCAATCAATCAATCAATTAATCAACCCATCAATGGATCAATCAATCAATCAAGCAATAAATTGATTCGAGATAAAGATGACTACTTGTTGAGCAGATCCTTGTCTCGAGGTCTGCTCCGATACCAAACTGCCGCATGCCTAATCGGCATCGATCAGAACCGAGAACCGGCCTCTCAGAGACAAACAAAATAGAACAGCAGAAGACTGTAATACAAAGATCTGACTCAGCATGGACAATGACAGGACCTGACAGCATACATCATCAGTCAGAAAGAGGGAGAGGAGACGAAGGGGGAAGAGGGAGATAGGGAGGATCAGTCACCATAGCCCGATGGACCCAGTCTCCAATGTATCCCCAAGGTCGCGGCTCACATAACGTCAAGTCGCCATGTCACTGAACTGGGCGATACCCGAATGTCAACTCTCTCTCGCTGCAGTGCAGCGGAGTGCTCGAACACCTAGCTCGCGCCCAGCACTGTAGACTACTCTGACTGCGTCCAGCGCGTCGACTACTGAAGACTACTCACTACTACCTCAGAGCTGCCATTGCGAAGCGCCTAGCACTACCTCAGTGAACTGCCTGAAGAACTGCCTGCCTAGAAATAAGGTCGACCCCGCTATACATACGCTGGGCCTAGCGTCCTAGGTCGAAAGGAAACAGTCTGGTCGAAAGAAAAACTGTTCTGGCGCCAAGAACAGAAGTATGTTCTGGCGCCAAAAACAAAAAATGGCGAAAAGTAGGGGCCACACGAAAATACAAAAAGTCTGGCGCCCATTTGCAGAAAGTAGGAACCAGGCGAAAATACGAAGAGTCTGGCGCCAATTTGCATAGGTCTGGTCGATGCCAAAAGTAGGAAACTGGTTTTGCATAGGTCTGGTCGATGCCAAAAGTGGGAAGATGGCAAAAACGAGATAGTGGCCTACTGGGTCCTACGGGTGACACAGACCCTAAATCCTATGAAACCCCTACTATCGGGTCTTGCGGGGCCCGTGCAGATCTGAGTATGCCACGTTGGCCCTCTGGTTCTGGTAGACCATCCACACGTCGTCAGACATGCGGTTTTATTCACGTTGATTTGATGGGACAGCACGATGGTGTGCAAAATGAGCCCCGATTGCTTGTGATGCTCTTTCACCTTCTTTTGTAAGTTTTTGTTTTTGGTGGGACCCATTGGTGGTTGCCACAGCAAGCCAGAAACTGACTTCCACCTTTGTATTATTGGCCGTTACTTCCTCTTTTGTTGATCACAGGAGCACCACTTCCAACCCGACCTTCCACCCCCTTGCCCAAAATCCTTGGCCATGGCCACCACTTCCCCCACTTTAACCCCTGCACAAACTCGGGTACGAGTCGTGCCGTTGGGTTGTGGCATTGGTATCAGAGCTGATTGAACGCAAGGGAAAAGAGTCTGAAAAACTCAGAAAAAAATTCAAAAAAGTGATTTTCTTGAGAGTATAACTGTAGCGACTGGATGGAAAGTTTCTGGTCCTTCTGAACCACTGTCTTCCCGCTGATATGCCTCAAAGATACGGACTCGTGCAGGGACAATATCGCAATTGGGCGACCAATTGATCCAGCTATGGTGGTGCTGGCCCACCAAATATTCACTAGCTCCTCTCCTCTCGAGCAGCCACGTGAGGTCGACCTTTGACGCGATGACAAGGCAAAGGCGAAAGCAACCCATGCATTGTAGGCAGTTAGATTCGAAAAATGCAAAACTGGCCAATTGCAATTGCAGCGTGCACTTACCAAAAACGATCAAGAGCTTAAACCAGAATCCTTGGCGAGCGTCATCCGCAACGTAGTACTGCAAACACAAGGTAGAGTAAGCCTACAAATAAGTTTCAAATTCCAGCAAACGTGAAAAGTGACATTCTGGTCCACAATTTTATGATGATGCAGAGAGGAGTTGGAGGCAGGTGAACAGAAGTGAAACAGTTTTCACCTTTGGCAGTAGCCGATGCAGATCCCAGGGGTCGATCCTTTGACCTCAGCTTACCTGTGTACAGTATTTGCACAGTTCCCTGGAGTTGAACCCGTGACCTGCAC